AGCCTGGCATTGTGGTGGGCACCTATAGTCCCAGCTACTTGGGAGGCTGAGGCAAGAGAATCGCCTAAGCCCAAGAGCTGGAGGTTGCTTTGAGCTGGGACACCACAGCACTCTACCGAGGGCAACAAAATGAGACTCTGTCTTTAAAAAAAAAATTACATAAAGAGACAAAAGAACTAAAATACCCAAAACAATCATAAAAAAAGAAGAAGAAAACTGAAAGAAGTAGCCTATTCAATGTCAAGACATCTTCGTTTGGGCTGCTAAAACAAAGTACCATAGGCTGGGTAGCTTATAAATAGCATGTGTGTATTTCTCATAGTTCTAGAGGGTAGAAGTCTGAGATCAGGGTGCCAGAGTGGTTGGGTTGTGATGAGGGCCCTCTTTCTGGTTGAAGACTGCTATCTTCTCGTTGTACATGGCGGGAAGAGGGCAAGAGAGAGCTTTGGGGCAATTATTTATAAGGACCCCCATGAAGGGTCCACCTTTGTGACCTAATTACCTCCAATACCTTATCTCCTAATACTATCCCATTAAGGGTTAGGATTTCAATATATGAATTTGGGAGGAACACAAACATTCAGTTCATTGCACAAGCCTTATGATATAATTACAGTTAATCAGGAGAGTGTGGTATTGGTAGAGAGACAGATATTCAGATTAATAAAGCAGAATTGAGAACCTAGAGATAAGTACACACAAGTGATTTTTGACAATGGTACAAAAGCAACTTAAGAGAAGGATGGCCTTGTCACCAAACGGTGTGGGCGCAACTGGACATCTGTAAGTAAAAATCAATCTCAACTAAGCCTAACACGTAACAAAAAAATTAACTCAGACTCAATCATGATTCACATGTGAAATGGAGAACTATAGCACTTTTAGGGAAAAAAATCAGGCGAAATATCGTGAATCAGGAGTTGACATACAAAGGTATAACCCACAAAAGAAAATAACTTGAACTTCAGAATGAAAAACTGTTGCTCTGCCAAAGACCCTGTTAAGAGGATGAAAAGACGAGCTATAGACTGGAAGAAAATAGCGGCAAAGCACTTATCCAGCAAAGGGATAACATCCATAAAATAGAAAACCTGCCAGACTCCACAGTAAAACAACACCAGCAACAAACCTGCAAAAAATCCAATTGGAAAATGGGCTAACGACATGGAGGAACAGCTCACCAGAGATTATCTACAAACGACAAGACAGGAGAAGGTGTTAAACATCGGTGTCGTTAGGACAATGCCACCCGCAACGTGATGAGATGGCACCGAGTAGCATGGGAATGCTTAAAATAGCCAGAACACCAAACGCCAGTGAGGACTTAAAGAAACTGGATCACTCAGACATGGCTGTTGGGAGTGTAAAATGGGACAGTCTCTCTAGAAAACAGTTTGGCAGCTTCTTCTCTTTCTTTTTTAAAATATTCAGCCTCCATAGAGACTGTCAAAATTTGCCAGTAACAACTATATCACTAGTCATCATAGCAGGGTACTGGGAAACGTTTTGAATTGGCAATAATCGCAGTTTGGCTAAACCTCATTGGCTGAGATATTGCCGCTGCAAAAGCTGTTTCTTAAAATCTAAACACGAAACTACCACACGATCTAGATACTGTACTCTAGGGCATTGATCTCAGAGAAATGAACACTTATGTTCCTGCAAGAACTTGCGCACAGATATTCACAGAAGCTTTATTTACAACAGTCCTCCGATGGACACAACCCAGATGCCCTTCGACTGAAGAAGGGTTAAGCACTTTGTGGTCCGTTCATGCCAGGGAATCTACTCAGAGCACAATAGGACGGCAACTGATACAACAACGAGGTTGAATCTCCTGACAGTTGCGCTGAGTGGAAAAAAGCCAGTCCTAAGAAGTGACATACTGTATAATTTCATTTATATGACATTCTTGAAAGGACAAAATTACAGAGGTGGAGAATAGATTAGTGGCTGCCAGGAATTAATAATAGGGTAAGAATGGAAGGGAAGTAAGTGGGCCTGTAATAGAGGAACACACAGGATCCTTGTGCTGACGGAATGCCCTGTATCTTGACTGTCTCAATGTCAATATCGGGCTTACGATATTGTACTGTTGTTTTTCCAAAATGTTATTATTGGAGGAAACTGGCTGTCTTACTTTTTTTTTCAGGTTCCCCCATGGCCTCTGATTCTGTATAAATCTCTGTATTATTTCTTGCAACTGCATGTGGATTTACAATTATT